AGAGACGGCGAAGCAGCGAGTAAGCTAATTCGATACGTACGACCGCCGTCGTACGACGGCCGCGCATATAACCGCGGCGAGTTCGCGATAGCGATTTAATCCATCAATTACGCGGCTGCAGCTGTATTTAAGATCTCCTTCCGGCGGCGCTCTCTCATACTCACACAGCTGCATTTCTCGGATTACTTTCGAGTAACGTCTCATCCGGCGGAAGTAGTCGTTCTACAAAAGAACTCTCGCCGAGGATTAAGCGGCTTGATTCCCGTTCGCCTTCTCTCTCTTCTCTCTCTCTCCCTCTCCCCCCCCCCTCTCTCTCTCTCTCTTTCTCTTCATCGCTCACCCACCCCCAATTCTTTTTCTCTCGGAAAAGAGAACGAAGAGAGAAAACGCCCGACTAATTTTTTCAATCTTTGCGCGCATGTTCACCCCAATCACCGTTCTCCTTGTACTTGGTCGCCACGACAACGCCCCTATAAAATAACCGGGAAACCGGAAATTAGTCCCATTCTCTTCGAGCAAACGAACGCATGCAGCGAAAGTGCGTGCTCAGGCAGCAAGCGGCACGTGGCCGAAGGATTGCAATTTGTAGAACGACGCGGGAGGAAATTAAAGGTGGCAAATTGGATCGTCCTCTATATCTCGCAATCGACGACCCCGCGCGACCGATCCTCAGCGTGCGCGCGCGCGCTGTATCCTAACGAAGCGCGGGAGAACTTTAACCGCTGATAACTCGTACGCGTGTTCATGACAGTCACGAAGTCCCCGCGGGTACGTATTCCGGCTCGCCGGGAACGGTTGTTCTTACCGCAAGCGCCATCCGCGCCGTCCGATTATTTATCGCCGCGGCCCGCGAGAACGTAATTTATCGTCCCGCTCTCGCGAGGGAAACGCTAAGCGGCGCTCGGCGACGACCGGCGAACAATAACTCCGAGTCGATCGATTCGAAGCGAAGACTCAGCGGCCGCGCGCGAGCCGAGGGAATTAAGAGCGAAACGTAAGAGGCGAGAATGATTTCGGAAGGGGACGAGAGGGCTAACGCCAACCCTTCGACGGACGCAACCGCCACCGACGCAATCCCCTTTTCGAGCCCTCGATGGAAACATCGTAAGTAACGAGATGACTTCCCGGCCGATCATTTATTCAGCCAAACGATCGTCCCGAGAGCACGGGAACGAGACGAGAGTGACTGTCCTGCCGTAGTTTCCTCAGGGGGACCGAAATTCCCGAAGTCACGCGTTCTCTCGTCAGGCGAGAGAGAGAAAGAAGGTTTCCACCCGGAGGGCGTGGAAGAGATACGAGAAGGGACGACGCGGGGCTATGCCCGGAGAGCCCGTCTTGCCGCCGGCCAGAAAAACTGTTTCTCGTCGAAGTCTCGAACGCCGTCACGAATTGCGAAATTTACGATCCCAAATTGTTCTCCCGAGTCGACGAATTTCCACGTAAATCAGACGGCAGCGTTTTCAACGCTCATGAATTATCCAACGCGGTCTCGCTTGGCGCACGACGTCGCTGCGCCCGCGCCGGTGGTTTAATAAGCGAAGAGCTCGGTAGAGGTTGGCAATTAGCGTGAGATCGCGTTAGATATATAATTTCTACCTCAAACGACTGTACAATTCTTTTCAAAAAGCGTTATCTTATTTGCGTTCCGGGCAAATGGATTTTAAACGGCGCGAGCAGCGAAAGCTCTACTAATAGCACGCGATTCACTCTTTTAGCACTTACCGAATAAATTTGAGTAATAAACGCTAATCACGCATGCACAAATTGATGCACACAAGGTATATAATTGTACGGTTCTAAATGTTGCTTGGAAATCGGATCTGTATTAAACACAAATGTTAAAATGCATTGTTAATGCAATGTTCAATTTACAAATATAAAAAAGAGAACTCTGTCTGCTTAAAATATAATTGGTCAACTTTTGCAGGAATAAATCCTCTAAGTTTAGCAGCCGCTCGACCTCTCTTCTTCTTTGTTAACTTAATCGTTACTGCGAGTCCCAAAGTAGATTTTAGCGAGTTATAAATTTCATAAAGGAGACTTCTGAGCAGCGACAACAATCCGCTTCGGATATTTGTTTTTTTTTTCCGAAACGGTAAAAGTTAATTGAGCGCAGAATGCGGAGATTGCTGCTGGATGAATCCGTGAGTCGGTTCGACGCGCCAGAGAGATCGATCGGCATAAAAATTGCTTATAAAATCAACAGGAGCGTAGCTATGCGGATCATAGCTGCTAAGAAATACAAACAGTCCACGGCAACTTTAAACCTTCTGTTTTTCAGCAGAGAAAAAAAAACAGAGACGAGTATTTTTCTTTTTTCCAAAGAGAATAATTCTTTAAATCCAAATCTCGTACGAGCGCATTTAAATCTTATTCTTTTTAATTCTTATTCTCGCCGAGTTACATATATACGGAAAGAATGAGTTTGTTGAAATTAATTAAAATTTTAGCTAGATGAGGTATAGATTTCTGAAAATAATTATATTTTACTATTTAAATATATTAAACGCTCAAGCTGGTCGTGCTAGAATATCAAAAAATTTTTAATCACATTATATAACCTATATAATATTTGACATTCTATATAATTATTTTGATAGTGCAACGAAACTTTTTTCAGATCTGGACTAATTTTTACACATTTCGCCGAAATAATTTTTTTCCACGAATACAGATTAATTCGCTGGCATTAACGTCCACATCTATTTTAATTAACAAATTACGCTTTGTGTTTGACATTTCGTGAAACCTTCCTAAAAGTACAGAGGTGTATGGAGTGGCATGCGCAACACGAATGGCGGAAACGTTATTAAGCTTTCTATTTACGGTACTGGGAATGACGTACTATTCTGACCACGCCGGTTGCACGCTAGCGATACATTCGCGCGGGCATCAAACTTTTCTTCCAGACCGCCTTCGTTCGGCCAATGCCAAAAGTGGGATAAGCCGAGTAAGGCTTGAATAATTCAGCATGATAAAGCATATCGATTATCCTCGTTTTGGCCTCGACGCCGGCCGAATATCCGGAGCAACGAAACTTACGACTTATGATATTTTCTCCTGGGGAGGAGACGAGCGGGCTGCAGGGGGATCTACATCCCCCCCGAAATCGATGCTTTTCTGACAGTCGAGAATACCGCCGGGAATCGCGGGGAGAATCACGACACGCCTGCACGAACTTAGTAGCCGACTACCGTGGGATTTGTCTTCATTTATCATTAGCCTGATGTCGGCAGTGAGAGGTCAACAGTCTTTTGTCTTCCGCACGTATTAATAAATAATGAATTACATAATAAATTAATGAAAATTAAATGGATTATCCCGATACCTCATTCCTTTTTTTTTTTCAAAAACAAAAAATATATTTTATTATTAGTTTCAAAATAAAGTGCTCAAAATAAGATCGCTTTAATTTAATAATACGTCTCTCCATCATCGTCTGTCTTTGAATCTATGATTTGGCTCGGCGTGTCGCAGACAACATCAGAAAGTTTTTTGCTCATGTATGAAGATCGTGGGAATAATTCTGCTTTCTATAGGCGATTAAGATTCATATTTACGCGAGCATGTTTCAACGCGTAACGCGCGTTGGTAAACCATAATTAAATTCCATAACCACATTTTCTCCTTATCCGTTTTATTACACATATGGAAGCCGCAAAAAAAGAGTACTTTTTTACCTCGTCTTTTTCTCGCGCGGCGTACCGAGAGGAAGACCCCGAGCGCGGGCGCTCACGACTACTTCGTTCCACGTCTCTACATGTCGGCGTGCACGAAAGTACGCGCGCGACCCCGCGATGGCGCTTGTTTTCCGATATTCTTCCGCCAGTCTGCTCGCATTGTTCGATCCCGATCGTATCCCGAGCAGTTTCCGTTCGAAGACCAAACACCAAACACTACTATTCTCCATAGTCCCGGTGCGCGAGTCGCGCTATAAAGATTACGTTCGGGCATGGCGTTTTTATCGCCGGATACCGTGCGAAAATACGAGCCTCTGAACGAATTCGCGGCATTTATTTTTCATTTATTTTCTTTTTCTTCGAGCTCGCGTCGCGAGTTCCGGCTCCAGATAAAGGGCGGTTCACGGACGCTGGAGGACTCTTCCGCGAGCGCGGCTGCGGTTCGGCTCGGCTGTTAAATAATTTTAAAAGCTGTTATATACCGGCAAACGGGGCGAAAATCTCGGTCGCTTTCTCGCGCGACGCCGACCGATACACGTACGTACATGCATATCGAAGGCCGAACGTGTTATTCGAATATGTACGAATGCGAGAACGTATCAGCTCGATTCGGCATGTCAAAGCGATCAATATTTCATGGCGCAAACAAAGAGGTCTTTCGTATTCACCGCTCGCAGATGCTCTGCGCGCGATATAAATGATCTAATAATAACTACCTTCGGCGAATTGTTCTCTGTCTTCCCCGACCTCCTCCGAAATTAATAAATGAACGACGCAATTTACGCCGCCTGGGGGACGCGGCGACAGATCATTTCAATATGCTTAACCTTGAGCCTGATTAAAAATTTAAAAGAAGGCGCGCGCGCGCGCGCTGAAAGGGACCTTCCGGCTCCCTGTGCTGTGCTATTAGCGAAGACGCGAAATAGTATTATCCGACCGCGCACCTATTACTTGCGCGCGCCGCATTCGACGGGTCTTAAGGACGAAGAAACTTCACCGTCCATGTTCATTCGCAAGCTGGCAACGGACTTTACGTCCGGACTCACTACGAGGGATTACGAGTCGAATTAAGCTCGGAATAAGAAGCTTAGGTTTCTCCGTTCCTTATCCAGGCCTCCCGCGCCAGTCTTTTTGACGCTCGTCAACGACGCTCGAGAAACGACAAGTATGATATTCAAAGTGTACATGCTGTCGTGTAATACTTTCTCGCTTATACCCAGGGCGATTTCCCAGGCCGTTGAAAATTCGATGTGGCCTCCTATCAGCAACACTTTGACCGTATCACCGCGATAAAAAGAATATCCTCTGTGGCCGTCGTTCCGGTTTCCGGTTCAAAGCGGCCGCGCCGGTGTCCTGTGTTTTTGGAGCGAGCCGCGGCAAACCGGATTTCTAGTTAGCGAGTAATTGAAAACCATCTTTTATGCGCGACACGATCCAATGTTTCGATAATTACAGCAACCTTTTTTTCGCGCCGTACGGCACAAACGAAATCCACGCCAGGCTGGGAAGCTTGCGTGTCGCGCCGCAAAAGGAGCCTTTTAATTGTCACCGGCAGCTGCCTTCTCTTTATACATAGCTAAAACTATCGGCCGAGACTCGGCAATGGGAAGGACTTAACGACCCATTGGAGCTTTGCAACTATAGCGAAAGGAGGATTACGAGCCATCCGCACCTCCCGCGGGTAACGAACACCTTTCAAGTAAGAAGACCGTTCGGGATTATTGGCGACGACGAAGGAACCATATGCTTCGCGAGGCGATGTACAGAGGTAGCTCATTTGTGTACGTAGAGGAAGAGAGCGAAAGAAATTTCCATTCCGTGCGCGCATTATTCCTCTTCCAGCGTTGTCCAATGCCGAGGACGAAGCGCGCACGCGAAGCTCATTCGTGCCGTCATAAAAGCGCATTTTAATCGCGATACCCACGGCCGAGTTCTCGTTCGGCGGCCATAGGTGAAACACGTGGACGATGCTCGTTCTGAAATCACGCGGCAGGACGTGCCAGGAAGCTTCCGGAAGTTTCAGGGAACAATGATATACGGTTATATCTATGCGCCCTCGCTCGCTCCCGTGGCATTTATACCGTCGGCCTACGTAACACCGTATCTGTAGGCGGACAAATCTACCGGGCGACTCGTAAACCACCGTCCTATCCAACCGAGGGATCTCTCACCCCCTCGCGCGCGCGCGCGCGCGCTTCACTCGTCCGCGAAATTACAGTGCGAGATCCTTCAGCGGCGTACCAACGTCCCTCATACGCCCATCCGGGATTGATATGCCGGATCCGCGAGAGCCGACAGATTGAACTGCAACGTAACTGGGTCTCGAGTACTTCGTAGAAAGCGGGCGGGATGATAATAATGTGAGGGATAGATACACGCGGGTGGTGAAAGCCTCGCTCCCGAAGATTACACGCGCAACTTACACGCGGAACTTTTATCCCAAGCGAAACTTTATATAGTTCTCTCATATTATAGACTCTCTATGGGCGACGGACTCGAGACGCGTCGCATCACCTCGAATATATGATGAAAATCTCGAAAATTTACGAATATCTCCTAAATGTTTTAAAAATATATATTTTTTTTCTCTCACGATATTTTACTCGTTATTTCGCAGTTTTCCCTTTTCCTTTATACAAACGTAGATATAGTTTTTAAGAGTTTTAAACGTTTGAGAAATACGTTTAAGAAAACATTTTCTTGATATTTCAAAGCATTTTTGAGATATTAAAGATATTTGTCGGCTTCTATAGCTACGATTCGAATCTGTTATACGTAATCGGACGAAATGAGGATTCGCCGTCCACAATTCATTCCCGAGAACACCCCGTGTACAACCGCAGCGTATCGACTTCGAGCGCCGCATATAATCGTTACAAATACGTAGGCGCTTGGTACATCCCACTTACGAACCGCAGAATCGACCGTGCGCGGCCATAGTCGCGAGGCTAATTGTAAGTTCTGCGGGTAGTAATTGAAATTCTCAAGTTGCACCGCGTATCCCTTTCTCGCGCGCGCGCGCGCGCTAGTGGCTATCTCCGCGAAGAATAGCCGCGCGGAATAATTGATAACTCGCCGAGTAGTCGCGCAGAAAATTGTTAACACGATTTCCGCGACGTATATGTACATACACACATGTCAAACAACGTCGGGGCATTAACGTTGCAAGCAGGCGAAATAAGTGCTGTAATATTTACATGTTCCGCAAATAGCGGAGCGAAAATATGGACGATCAATGACGGCGGTGATAAATAAATAGAAATAGCTAAGTAAAATAGGAAATGCATCTCGGAATGCTTATGTATCGATCGGTCATATCTGCGCGCGTTAGTCATAGAAGACGGGCGCTTCTCGTCCTCTCGAGACGCCTCGCTCTCAAAAAACGAAAGTTTCTGCCATCAATTCTATTTGCGTGCGTTTTCTATCTTATCTTTGCTGCACTGCGCCTCGTGTCAATGATCGAATGCGACTCTTAAGCAGCCGCGCAGTGCGACGAGGAATCCCATTTATCACGTCCGACGAGGATGCGATTTTCGACGAGCGAATACGAATCGCGGGCGATGGCGAGACGCGCGCGTCTTTCGATCGCGAGAGAGGATACACGAAGACGACTTCGGAGAAAATGCGGGCAAGCTGTCTTAACGAAGTCGAACGCCGCGCGGTCACATTCCGCTCGCGCGGTCTGTCGTCTTAATTCGCTCTATCGGACGCGACGCCAGCTCGCGACGACGCGCGTCACGCGGGGCCGTCCTCGTATTGTTTTGCGTGTGGCTCGTTAAATGCGGATCTCGCTCGGAAATTACGGTTAATTGAAAGAGTCGGCACGAGAAAAACGGCACAAGAAATTAAGAGAAAGTGAAAAATTAACGATGCGCGCGCGGCTTAAGTCGCTCCTATTTAACATCAAGCACCGGGGGCGCGTCGGTTCAATACGACATCACTCTAATTAAAAATCGTCGGTACCGCGATTAATTGCGAAAGAATACGCGATGCGCTCCTGCGCAGATTAATACGCGTTAAATCTCAATCGCTTTCCGCTTTCTTTCGCTCGGCGATATCCTCCAGCTTGCACATTTATCACGACAGATGTTATCTTCATTGATAAAAGTCGCCCGCGGCCGACTACGCAGCGTATCGCCGGGTACAAAGGGAGCGTCACATTGTGATCGGTATGATGATTACGGACGAATTGACGTAAAAGTTCGATAAATAGTGTCGCCCCGGGCGATACACACGCGCGACGGGCAGATGGTAAAATCGCTTTTATACAATATAAAAGTCAGTACAGTCTGTATAACGGAAGCGGGAGAATTTTTCCGGGCAAGCGTAAGACATAATTTCGTATAGCCACGATGAAAGAGAAAAGGGTAATGGCTCGTAACAAAGCTCCTCGATAAAGCACCATGGCGGATTCCTTTTGTATTCCCCCAGCATTGGGTCCGGATCAGATCCGAGAACCGTATTGAATGCAGCATTTTCATCAATATTTTATGAATGGCCGCCGCGCGCGTGTCGCGCGCGCCGTTCCCGGCCGTTGTACTTGTGACGGCTGTATAACGAGCTTATTTACATACCTGCGAATAAAATAATGAAAGTTTCAAAAGCGATTATCGGGTTGAGCGATCGGGAATTTATTACCGTACAATGTTATCGAATGTCCATACCATTAAGAGTGATCGGATTATACTGTTAATCAGAACTTCAATGGTTTCGGTACTCCGCGTCGCGTGTATATGATACGTTACAGCTAAACGCCACAACTGACACGGATGGAAATAAATGCTGTGAGCTCTTGAAAACACGAATGCGCGTGCAATTTGTCCTTTAAAACGAAGAGGTGATGGTAAAAAATGTAATGTCCGTAACGAGGTTAAATAACTTGCGCAATCATTGTGGATTCCTTTTGTATTTTTGTCGCGCTTGCCCATTGCCCACTCGAGCGAGTCTGTGCAATAGAGAGAGAGAGAGAGAGAGAGAGTCAAACACGGAAAAGAACATGGAGAAACAAGCAATTTTTACACGGGCTGTACAATTGAAGAGGGCATAGCTTATATGCTTAGAGAATCGTCGATGCAATTTACCAGAGATATAACGGCATATTTAAGCGCCGATATCCGACGATAATTATTCTATAGACACAGCAAAACGTGTTTAATTCTTTACAGTTCCACGGCGAAGGGAAATTCCAAATGGATCGTAATTATTATCGATTTCTGTTACGTCGCCCGTGCTACGTTAACTTGGAGTACGCTGCGATCGCTGCGTCTCTCTTACCTCGGGAATTAAAAAGTCCATCCCGAGCGATGTTATTCGCGCGTCCCAAAACCAACTAGGATTTGATCGATTAAAAATGAATCACGTTACCGCACCTCGCCCGTATACGCAACGAAAATGCATGCTCGGGAGGGGGAAGGGGAGAGAAAAAAAAACGAAAGTAAACTATTTTTAATCTTTGGCCCGGACGGGCTTCAGCCGAAAAGCCGCAAAGCGCGATCGGATTAATGGGCGTGTAATTGTCGTGGATTTCTTTCGCGCTCGAATACGAGTCGCGCGCGAGCCGCGTCGCGCCGGCCGTTTCATCACGTCGCTCGCTTCGGTCGGGCACCGAGCCACATGAACACATTTTCACCCCCGTGAGCTCACCTCGCCTCGCTTCGTCCCCGCCATCACCTCGCGCGATCGGGAGCATGGTATCGTGTTATTTCGCGGGTTGTACGTTGCCCGCAAAGAGGCCTCCGATGGTCTGGTGAATGGTCAATGGTAGCGTTCAACGATGACCAACGGCGATGTGTAGGTCGGGTAATTCCGGAGGTAGTAGTCAAAGTACAAAAGGTAACCGAATGATAGGGCCGCCAGCTAGGCTATGGAAAGAGAGAGAGAGAGAGAGAGAGAGAGTGTGTAAGCTTATAATTACAGGCCGCCGTTAGCACGCTGCTCTATACTTTCCCGACACCACGCGCAAAGAGGGAGCGGTTTCCCCAACCTAGGAAAAGGTACACGAACCGGATATACGAGATATAGCCGGGAGCCGAGAGATTGTACAGGGCTGATAAGTCTCTCAGAATACCACCGATAAGATTTCCCGTCGAAACGTGAACGATACGCATCGAATATGTAGGATCGGGGCGAGGCAATCGAGAATCGCGGCTCTCGAATGTCGCTTCTGTCACCTTCGATCACACCGTACGAGACGTCGACGTTATCTCTAACGCGCACACGGAAGGGAGGGGGGGAAGGGAGGGTAGGAGGAGAACGAGAGTTAATTGACAAACCACGTCAGCGGTAAACGATCTCTCGGTTCGCTCGTCCAAGAGAGGATCCGGTTGAGAAATTTTCATCGCGGTGTAACGTAGCGCGTGCGACAGAAATCTAATATGGAAATACATACATTTGACGCAATTGTATCAAATCTGCAGGCGCAACAAATGTACTCTCACACACACACACACACAAACAGCATTCCGGCGGATGTTACGAGCGCGGGTAAGTTACGTTAATCGATTCGTAAGCAACGGCGCTTTGCCCGAGTCAAGCCCGGTTATGTGTGCACGCGCGTAACAGAAATTCTAGAGCAGCCACGCTTTTGCATGACGATACACGTGCGCGCTCGTTTGGCTCGTTTCGGACGCGTGTTGGTGCATGCGTGGTTGATGTGCCATATATATACATACACACACACACACACACACACACACAAGCGCGCGCGCGCCTGCCCACGCTCGCACAACTGACTTATAACGCGGCACGGCGGTTACGAGTAGGGAAACGCCAGGGCTAGCGCGGACGCTAGTAGGTGCACGAGCGCTACGGAGCATGGAGGATATTCGTGCTTTCCGTGCTCGAGTTTCATCAGGGCGCATCCCTCTCTCAAAGGAACGCTCACTTTTCTATTCTAATATTTAGCACCGTTCGCCGCATTTCTGGCCGTGCGCGTCCTACACATACGCCTGTAACTCAAACTGCTTGCCACTGCTCGCCTTCCCGTAATTTGTGTCGACGAAGCTTTTTACCATCTCGTATAGCGCCGCCTCTATTCCGTTCTTCTCCTCTCCCCATTTTCTCTCCCTGTAACTAACCACGCGAGAACCGAAGGGGTCAGTCGATACACCTCATTATTCTTCCCGCCCGCATATAAGCGCGAAAGAAAAAGATCGTGATCCCAACCTCGCATTTCCATGCCACAATCCGCACCGCGCCGCGCCGTTTCCATATAATCCCGCGTTTCCGTCTCCCGCGAGCGGAGGAGATACCTTTGTACGTCGTCTTTTTTCCGATAATTCCTTGGTTTAAATTAATCGCAACGTTGCCGAGGATTCTCGGAGCGCGGTCGAGCTACCGATTACGTGTCACGACTACCGGGGCGGGAAAAACGGTCCCTTTCCCTGCTGCAAGAGACGTTTACGTCGAGAGGTCAGCGCGCCGGAGCAGCGCGCGTCTTTTTGATAGCGTTCGGTTGACAACGCGCGTACATGCGGGTTCGGGTTCCCCCGTAGCTCGGGTTTCATCTCACGGCTCTCAAAGGCGTCTTCCTATTTCCCCCTGTTGGCTTTACACGTATGTACACATCTCTCGTCTAACTTTAGCGCTACCCCTCC